CAATGAGCCATGCCTGGGAAATCACAAGTCATGTTATCTTGTCAAGATCAATGGCAAGGTCTAATTGTTATAGCTTGTGCAGGATTGTCAAAACAGTACGTAAAACTACTTGTAGTGATCAATGTCAGCCAGACTGCCTGGTGCTAAAGTGTCCTGGGACCTAACTTGCTATTCTTTTTGTGGTCTCTTGCTTGTGTGGCAACATTCTCATCGCGAGATGAGAGAGTGACAATTATGATGTAGATGGCTTATTTATCTGACCTATGATCTTCTAAACATTTGGTCCACAAAGGGCATCTAGGGCTCAGAGGACAGAGGACAGGGACACACATGTAGTTATGATTGGATTGAACTATGATACCATGAAATCTGCTCTTTCAAAATAATTACTTGGGATCACTAATCTCAAGAGGAGATAATACCTCTACTTACCTCTACATACCAAAAAATGTCTCTGGCATATAAATGATTTTGGATATTCAGGCCATAGATATTTTTTCCTTTGCAATGCCACACCCTGCGACACTTAAGTTATGCACTTTCACTTCTAAGACAAATCCTGCTGTAACTTTTATAACCTTTGTAACCTTTCTTAGCAGATTGTATTAGGAAACATAGGACTTCAAGTCTCATACATGGCTCGTATTATGGGACAGGGCTGTGTGTAGTCATAGGAAAACTATTCTTTTCTTTAAAAATGGTGTTAGCTTTAGGAAAGTTAATAAATGTAGTTCAAGACTTTTCCAATACCCATAGACATAAAATTCTCTATTATCTGGTAAAGCTGTTAATGTTTTTTATCATGACAAGAAAGGTAATTTATAAAAGCAGATGCAGTAGGTTTTCCTCTGCAAACCCTGGCTTTCTCAATGTAAACTTTATCTTTTACCAAGATGAAAATTGCTTTGTGGAATGGATGATACCAGTTATTATTGTTTTGAAGCGTGACTTGTGGTTCACAAACCATTATAAAACATGCTTATGGCATCTGGTTGAATTTCACATCAACATAAGAAGACTTCAAAGAGTTTTTGGAGAACTGGACTTTTCCTCAACATAGAGATTAAAAGCATAAATATACAGTGACACAGTGACATACACTGTGTCAAATAAATAAAATGTGTCAAATAAATAAAATAAATAAATAATCTAAATAAAAATATGAAAGTCCACATGCTAACATTTTCTTTTTAATTAAATCTAACTGCATTAACTCCACACTTTGAGAAAGAGCCATAGTTGAAACATGTTCTCTTACATTTCTGTGTGGATTTGACCTCTGCTTGTTCCTTTAAAACTGGCAAGCTGATGCAGTTCCACACTTGAATATCTGCATTAACCCTGATCTCCACCTCATGTCACTGTGAAGTAAACCTTAAATACTCAATGTATATGATTTTTACTGTTAAGCTGCATTATACGTTACACTGAAATAAATAAATAAGCAATAAAAAAATCAACAAAATTACGTTTACGAGCAGGTGGTTAGATGTGTGAGTTTCTATGATAAATGTTGATTTGGCTTTTGGTACTCTGAGCCCTTATAACCTCAGTATATCAACAATTTTATATTGCAATATTATTTTATTATATCATTCAAATATTATTAATACCCCAGCTAAAGAACAGTCAGATCCTAACATCAGAAAGGCTAAAAGGGGGGGAGCCTTGTACAAAGCATAAATGCCTTAAGGAGTCCCTCAATGATAAACACCTAAAAGAATATCAGTGTTTATTAATGCTACCCAGATGAATTGCTTTGATCCAAATTAATGATGCCAGGAATTTAATAAATCATGCCTTGACTAGAAATCTTCTTAGATAAATTTCTAAGGCTTAATATTGATTGCTGTCTGTGAGTATCATGTTTGGCTAAATAAAATCAATCATACTGCAATATTGATCACAAACTGAACCTCCTTTTGCTCTGCTGCTGGACAGTAACTAATGAGTTGTGTTATGGTCCGAATCATGTTGGCACGATGAGTTATCTGACTTGGCTGACCATCATCTCGCACTTGTCCACCTTGAAGAATTTAGAGGTTATTCTCAGAGTGACATTCTGTGCTGGTATAAATACAAAGTGTAAAAGTTTAAACCCTAGCCAGTAGGGAAAACAAAAGACAGCTGAGTCTTGTTGTTAATGTGTGATGTTCAGATTGCTATGAATTCAGCTCGGGGAAAGCCCTGGTTTAATAGGTAATCCAATCCTGACAGTACACATTTAGAGTAAGGTACTGTTGGAAGTGGACAGAATGGTTACTGAGGCACCTGCAGCTGGGAACTCATGCATTTTGACAAGGGTAAAAATAGTTGTGCATGTGTAGAAGGCTTTACAACAATCCCTCAAAATAATCTTTACTTTATAAAGCCTTGAATTAATTCAGGCTGATTTTACAGTCTGTATGTGTTCAAATTCTATCTTTTAATTTATTTATATTGTATGTTATTTCTTTGACCTAATTTAGAAGGATATCAAGCATAAAAGACCAAAACCACCAAAAACAAATTACATTTCTGAATTCTGTCTTATGAGACAGACACACTGTCACAGGGAAATTAAGGATTAAACATATATCATTACAGTACATGAATATTTGATTAGATCCGTTTACCAGTTTGATATATTCTATGCCTAGTAATATATTGTAAATTGAATTGTTTCCCCTCCTATATATAAACAATGCAAATATCGTAAACTGCAGTGCAATAAATGCTAGAAGTATATTTCAAAATGTATTAAATAGAGACAAATAAAGCTATATATTAATAAGGAACAAGTAATAGTTTTATTCCGTGCTGAAAAGAGAAGAAAGAAAATCCAACCTTTTGGCTGTGGATCCTTCTTCAGGTGTCAGGTGTTTTCTTCTTCACACCTGAAGAGGGCTCCATGGCCGAAATGTTGTGTTTTCTTTATTCTCTTTTCAGCATGGAATAAACCTATTACTTGTTCCTTATTACTATATAGCTTTATTTGGGAGGGGAAAATAAAGGTTCAGAAGTCATTAATATAAAATTAAGTGTCATAGTCTCCCTACAAGATTAATTCAAAGTCATAATTATGTGTTTGTTATTGGGCTGGAACTGGACAATCATATCCTAGCCATCTATATGTTTCCAAGGGTGTCATGGGCTTTTATCAAAATGGTTGGTTATTTGACAAACATATTCTGTAAAGAGTCACAGAATTGCAGAAAGTCACCCCTTTGTGCTGGAACAGTTCTAATGTTTCATTCATGGACATGGAGATTTAAATCACAATTTTCCACATGAACCTTTCACCACCACCATAGTAAAATAACACCACCACCCCAGTTTCTCAAAGAAACTCTCTCTCCATTTAAAGAAAAATTGCATATGGCATTCTGTAGAGAACATTTGTACTTTTAATTTTGCTTGAGGTGTGTCTTATAATTTTGTCTGAACTATTAAACTATTACTATCAAATAATATTAAAGTATTTTCTGTAGTACTTGCTATCATTACCTCAGGCTAGATTTGAAAACACATGTGGCAGAGTCCCTGATTTCTTTTGGGCAACAACATTTTGGGGCATACCAACACAAGACTCTGTTACAAATATTGTAGATGAATCATTGGGACACTTAACCAGAATCAGCTAAATGAAGGTTACATGGAGTGGAGAAAACAGATACATATCTAGTATCAGCTAGAAGTAGTCCAGGTAATAGGTAAGTAATAGGTTTATTCCATGCTGAAAAGAGAATAAAACACAACGTTTCAGCCGTGGAGCCTTCTTCAGTATCAGCTAGATACTAGAAAGCCATACCTAAGAAGATGGCATTAAATAAATTAAAATCTAACAGGAATCCTAGGCAAGGACTCCAAAACAGGAGTGATACCATCACCTGTGTGCGAGTATATCAGGAATATAGCTGTTAAATCCTGCAATTGCTGCATTACAATAATACAGGAATCAGTTTTCTGCTACTAATATAGTCAACTGAGGACATAACCAGTCAATATTTCTAAGATGAAAAAATGATGTTTACAACATTCTGCTGTTTAGGGTCCAAAAGTCTAGGACTTAAATCATCCTTCTTAAATTTCTTAATAAAAAATGAAATTCACATTAACCGAAAAGCATTGGTTTTACATGACAGAAAGGAGAAAACCAATGATTTAACCTCCGTCTTCTCACAATAAAGATGTAAAAAAAGTGCCATCCATACATTTAATACAGAAATGCAGAGAGTTCTAAAACTATCACCTTTATATCAGGTTTAGTGTGGTCATCTGCACGGACATGATAACTCAAACCTTGTCATTTTAGTACTGTATACTGTATGATCGAGACCATATAAACACTAAATGATAGAGGGCCCAACATTGAGCCCTGGGGAACACCAGTAATTATGCCAACTTCTGAACTAAAACCACAAAGAAAAATAAAATATCAAAGCTATCCAAAATTTAAACCATTTAAAGGTAGTGATGTGGAACAATCTCTGAATGTCTAATCAATTTCAATTCTTATAGGTCAGGAGGAACAGATATATTCTCAGGCAAAAAGATAAAGCCTGAAGTTCTCAGGAGTATACAGCACTACAGACTCCCTTTTTTAAATCATGCCTTAACACGTTTCTGTCTTTAATTTCACTACTACTGCTATTTAGTACTACATCTATGAGGATTGTAATTATAAACTTCAGTATCATAAATGAGTTGTTTTGTATTTTAACTCTCACACATTTCATATTGCATGAGGCACGACTTTTGTGTGTTGTATCACATTCTCATAATGTGAAAAAATCAGGAGTTTCTAAACTGCATGCAAGTACAGCCATAGAGTCATTTTTAGCAGTGATAAGGAAACATGATATTTTCCTAAGTAAGCATTTAGGGTATGATGAATGGTGAAGAAATTCACAGAATGAACATTCACCAAGGATGATATGAATCCTAATAAAGTAGGTATACAAAACATATCTCAGTCGTGAATCGCTACTATTAAGAAGGCATTAGTGAAGATTTCTTACCTGTTTCTCAGCCTGTCCATAGTCCGGGCCTTGCTCTGGTAAGAAGAAAGAAATCTCTCCACGATTTTTGGCCATTTCTATTAGGCTATTCGCAGTACGAACTGTGGAATTCCTGGCGTGCACAAAAACCATCACCTACAAACAGAAATAAGATTTAAAAAGCAGAACACCAAAGATATTTCAAAATAAATGCATAAGCATTTCATATGTAGTTGAACAGGTATAGAAATGGTCATTGTAAATAAAACAATTTTTGAAAACAAGTGCTACTGTATGTGTTCCTAGAACATTCATCTAGTAGTGATAGTCATCTTAATAACCTTTTTCTGCAGTTTTGACTTATGTCACTTAGCTGCATGAAATAGCAGTTGACTACTCAGTGGACTATTTTAGAAAAAAAACTAATTAGGATTCTTCGATGAAAAAATAACGAGGAGAGAATGTTGAATCTTCATTAAGGTTTGCACCCATCTGTTCATATACAAGTTTTCTTCAGAAAACTAAGCAAAAACCATTTTAAGTGTTTATTTAGCTCTTCCTCATTCATTCTTTAAGACGTAAAATATAAAAAAATAAGAATGAGGAAAGCAGTTAGCACTTGTGCCTCACAGCTGCAAGGTTTGGGGTTTGATGTCAGCCTTGGCTGTGTACAGTTTTCACTTTCTCCCAATGTTTGCATGAGGTTTTGTTCATATTTGTCTCTCTATAACTGCCAAAAACAGGATGCATAAAAACAGTTGCTACCTATTCTCTGAGAACTCTCCAGTTACCGAGTTACTTGCTTACTATTCGAACATGGAAGGTCAAAGCTCTGACTAAGCATGTGCCTAATAAAGGGTTTCAAATACAGGAGCAGGTTATTCTCCTATTACTTTGAAACTGACCTTGCAAAAAAGTCAATATTCAAACCAAAATAATCGATATCCCAAACATAAGACAGTTATGTCATGTAAAGGACTTTCTTTACCATCCTTAAATAATTTTATAATGCAACTATAAACAGAAGATAGACAAAAACAGTCCGTAACTAGCGCCTCAGGGATGTTTATCTTTGTCCTTCAGCTTTTGCAACAGCTTTAGAGGTAGATGTGTAGCACTATTGTGCCAGAATTGATTCTTTTTATTTCACACAGTAAGCAAAACACTTTCCCCAGGTGGTGTTGTTTTGTAAAATGTGTATTGTGGGTATTCAGCGTTTTGGTCACTGTCAGATATAATTTTATGATGACAAATCTTACACTTAACTTATTTGCAGCTTTTATAACCAGGGTTTCACATAGCCAAAGCAATGAAACATGATCCAGTGCTGCAAATTATGTCCGATATACAGTATGAATGTATTCATAAGAAAGCAATACATTTGGGCAATTTTATACAACACTTGACCAAACACTGTACAGCAATTTCAGTTGCATTTTTTGTTTTCCTTTCTAGCACCATAAACAAAAAATGTTTATTAGCCTTGCATGTACTCTAGATTTAAAATAGACTGAGAAATGTGACAGCGTCTGCTGATAAATAGTAAACTGAATCTATTTGTTATAAAAAAGTGTTGATTCTAAACAATAACTCACATTTAATCAGGTTGTAGAAGGCACCAATTCACAACAGCCTAAGATAACTTATTAACTGCAGCCAAGTGAATTAATAGGGATTTAAGTGGGTTATTGCAGGTATAAGAGATAAATGCAGACTGCTGTTGAAAGGAAATTGCTTAAAAAAGTGAAAGAGATGAGCCTTTATGCATGTATATATACAGTACCTTGCAAAAATATTCAGACCCTTCCTATGATGGCCTATTCTGTGAATTTACAAAACTATGCATACTCATTTTTAAATGTAATATTTGATTTAGAATTCTCATACTAAAGACTTCTAAGAGTAAAGTAGGTTAAAGGAAATGTCAGTAAACCTAATCAGACAAAAGAGAAATGCTTTAACTGTATAAGTATTCAGATCTGTTAACTTAATATTTAGTGGAAGCACCTTTGGCAGCGATCATAGCTGCAAGTCTTTCTGGGTCTCAGCTGCATCCAGAAGCTTGCTCCTTTATGCCCCACTGCTCAGTTTGGAGGGACAGTCTGATCTAATTCTAGGTGTCTTGTGCTTCTTCATGATCAACTTCACCATGCTCAAAGAACTATTAAGGGTCTTTGAAATGCATTAATAAGCTTCTCTTGATCTGCACCTTTGTACATCTTTATCCCTGAGTAGTTCTGAAAGCTCCTTGGACTTCATGTCTTAATCTTTATTTGAAATTTCAATACCTGACTGAGGGACATTACAGAGACAGGAGTAAACATTCTGAAATCATGTGAACCACTATTACTGCACACAGACAGAGGCCACAAAGTTAATTCTGTGGCTTATTAAGGTAATTTTGTGCACCTAAATTAATTAAGTATGCCACAGTAAGGAGTTTCAATATTTAAGAAATTATGACTTCTATTATTCTGCTATATGAATTATCTATTTATTTCTTTTTGATTTATGCCTTCAATGCATGGAGTGGGTTGTGTATATAAAAAGATTATTTTCTACTTCAGAGTGCCTTGATTGCAAGCTTTAAAGAAACAAAATATAAAAACTGTGCAAGAGTCTGAATACTTTTTCAAGGCACTGTATTTGAAGAAGGCTCCACGGCCGAAACGTTGTGTTCTCTTCTTTTTTTTCAGCATGGAATAAACCTATTACTTGTTCCTTTGCAGCCTACGCAAGCTGACGCAGCTACCCACCTGAACTATCATAGAATGATGTATTAAAAGTTAGATAATAGCCTTCTGTTCCCTTATATAGAGAGAATTAATGCTGACCTTGATGCATCCTCCACATCCCTCTACCTTTCCCCATCTTAAGGCACTTGCTTCCAATGCCCTTTATTGTTTCCTGATTGCACATCCCAAGGCCACAGCCAATGGGTGCATGCAGAATGAAAGTGCTGGTTAGCAAACTAGATACATTTATCATACTTGTTCTCTTTCTAAACAGGGTGTTTTTGCTTTGTTTAAACAGATCCCAGCATGCATTTTGAAATCAATGGAATATTATCTTTTCCTGTTAGGATTTCATTATTTAAGATGCTCTGTAAATGACTCTGTCATTGGTGGGCTTGATCAATTTTCAGTCTCTAAATGGACTGCCATTTCTCCTAAACTGGACATGTGCTGGATTCTGGAATGCAAGAGGGCATGTGGTGTCTACTTACTTTTATTCATTTCTTTCCATTCTAAATAGTTTGAACTGCGGTTACATATACAATATACAAAATATACATGCAATAAACAATATACATGCAATATTTCTTTCAACAGAAGAGCCTGGTGTACCCTTACTTACACATGGTTGTAAGAATTTGTCTGAAGCAACATGAAAACTATAACCTACACACATCTATAATGAAGTAGTGTGGTTTAGAGCAATGGTTGCTTAAGGACAGTACCAGTCTATTTTTACATTCAACGTAGCTTTTGTAATCAAACAGTTGCAAATGTTTGGATGATCTGATTGAATTCATTATTAAGATACTAAACATTCTGAGGTTCTAAGGAATTAAACTTTTATTAAAAATCTATTGTAATTCAACTACATTCACATTTGTGTTTCAATATAAATGCAATTTTAACTTTAATATGTGACAATAAACAGGTGCAATGTAAGGCTTTCTGAATCAATTACATTCCGATTATATTCATTGCAAACATTTTGCTCTTACAATACAAATTTACCAGGATGCTCTGTTTTCCTTAGTTTTCTAAAACTCAAATGTCAATGTTATTTCTTATTTGCCATTCATTTGTATTTGTAGAAAGACCTGCAAACAATGAATAAGGGTATTGAGAACCCCTGACTGAATGTTGTTTCATATCGGAATCATATTAAGCATGTTTTCCTTGAGAATAAAGAACTACAGTACACCAGGCTGGCGACAGCTGAAACTGCTGTCTCTGTCTGATTGTCTTGATTTCACGTAAAGAGAATCAGAATTCTATTTAGCTTGCTGTGCTTTCTAGTATCGTGGCCACATTTAATTAATATTTGCGCTTGTCCAGTAATTAATGAATTAAACAAACCTTTTGGGAAGTACTTTACTTGTTTGTATAGAAATGTCCTCAGAAATAATGTTATGCAACTATACTCAACACACACAAAAAAAATCCTTATGTATCTGCCAACACTTCCAGAATGTTGGATTTTGTTCATGTTTGAATGACAGAGTAGATCTTAATTTATCCATTTCTAAGCCTAACAAATAATTCAGGGTGAAACCCATAACTAGCCTGCAACTTGCTTCAGTGAGATTTCTTCAATGAAAAAAAACCTAAAAGATAACAACAGATAATAGATCAGTTCATAGGAGAAAATCCCAGCTTCCAGCTGGTACTGAAAGCTAGTTTTATGTACAGTTTTGAAGAATTGAGGTTTGATATAATAATCCAGCACATTCACCAGTCACAATCAGAGACAGATATGTATCCAGATATTTAATAATGTCTAATAACTGCTAATTTGAAGCATTTAACCAAAACCACTTTCAAAGAGTGCATTTATGTTTTCTATTTTGTATCGAGTAAGATGTATTTAGACAAATAATAAAACAGTCATGTGCGCATAACAATGTTATTCACAGTTGCTGCACTTCCATTTAAATGTATTTTTCAGATGTCTGGATATACAAACACCTGGTTATGAGATGCTAATGTGAAAAGAATACAATGGAACAGAACATATTTATATTATAGTGGCTGTACAACTAAGCCATGAACAAAAAATGAGATGCTTTGCACACCTGCTAGAAGTCTCACCTGTAAGGGTCTGTCACACTTCTGGCCCCCAACCACCTTCACAACTACATCCAACTCAATGAAGGATCAGATTTTGATGTCAAGAATACACCAGCAAAGAGGTCAAAAGATCTTACTCTCAAAAAATATATAAAAAAATGAAATTTTGACAGCAAAACTGTATTGCTGGCAGAACTATTAAAGCATAACAACCTCCTACCCCAAAAGTCAATTTGAAAAACTCAATAGACAGACAAAGAGGTTGGCAGTCAGGGATATGCTTCTCCCATCCTTTCCTAAGCCGTGAAACAAAAACCTTAAATGGCAATGTCAAACTAAACTTTGGATTGTTAC